TCCTTTTGATGCTTACATTTCTATAATCAGATATAAATCGATTAGCAAGTTTACTTGATGTAGTTTCACCCCTAAACGAGAAAATAACTTTAGCATTGTTATATATATTTTTTGGCGCAATTCGCATTAAACAAATGCAATACCGCTCCTTACATCATTATATATTTTCACGAAAGAAGAATATCGAAAGTGGATGATATGTTGAATGAACGAAAGAGATGGAGACATTGCTATATATAGAGAGAGATGTGCGTGTGTATGTGATTCTGTTTATTTTTTTTTCTTTCTTTCGTTGTTTCTGTTATCATAAAACGAGGGATTAAATCCAGACAACGTACAGCGCGGCTCAATTGATTTTACCCTTGATATTTTTTTGTTTTTGTTTTGCTATACTTCTTTTATTTATTAACCTACTATATATAGGAAAAAAAGCCCGGAACGGGCTGCATCTTTTGGTATATTTACATTAAGCATCAAATGGAATTTAAAGTGTAAAAGATGTATTAGAAAAAAAGTGACATTTTTTTTTCTCACTATAATATCGGGTGTCCATAATGTTGTAACAGTTTTTATTTCGCATATATCTCCGCTTAGGTAAATGATAAAATCTTGAATATTTTTCCAGAAGATGCGTCGTGAAATGCTCTACAAAAGTTGTATGAATGAATTCCTTTTTACCTGTTCTAGTGGTTTTTCTTATACTAAAAATGAACAACTTACATGACAGTTTCACTCCCCGTCATATAGAAAATATTTCGAGGACTTTTCAATTCACTATAGGATTTAGTCTAAACAAGTTTTGTAGAGCTTTCCTCAGCACATCTTTAAAAAAAATTCAATATTCTATCATTTTCTCAAGTCGAGATATATGCAAAACAAAAAGTCTTCCAAACATTTTCAATATGATGGACAGTGACACTGTCATGTAGGTTGTTCATTTTGAGTATAAGAAAAACCATTAAAACAGGTAAAAAGGAATTCATTCATACATTTTTTTATAGAGCTTTTCACGATGTATCTTCTGGGAAAATATTCAAGATTTTATCATTTACCCAAGTCGAGGTATACGCGAAATAAAAAATGTTACCACATTATGGACATTCTGTAGTAAAAAAAAAAAGGTCACTGTTTTTTCTAATACATCTTTTATACTTTAAATTGCATTTTATGTTTAACGATGTTTAATGTAAATATACTAAGAGATGTAGCGCGTTCCGGGCTTTCTCGCTATATATAGTAGGTTAATAAATAAAAGAAGTATAGTAATAAAAACAAAAAAAAATATCAAGGGGGAAAACCAATTGATCCGCGCTGTATAT